TAATAAAGATTAATATCATATGTATATTAGCTTTGAGATAACATACAGTATATGCTAGTGTATTTCTAAACATTAAAACAAATGCTTAAAAAATTAAAACAATTTAAAACAGGAATTTAACAGATTAGACAATGAATAGCCAACTGTGTAGTTTACATCTCAGTCTGGCAAAGATGCACATGACAGAAGACACTTTTCTTCACTTTTCTTCACAGTCTCTATCTTTTCAGGACAGGTACCCAAAATGTGTCCAACCAAGTGCTGTCTTGAACAAGAAGTCAATTATGAATACCAAATATAGCTGCAAGCAGCAATTAGGGGGCCAAGCACAACAGAGGTAAAATGAAGAGCTAAGGAGCTGTCTTTAATTACTCAGTAAAGGCCAGAGTTCTCCAACCCTGCTCCTGGAGAGCTACCTTCCTGCAGACTTAAGTTGCAACCCTGCTTCAACACACTTGTCTGTAATTACTTAGTCCTGAACACCTTGATTAGCTGGTTCAGGTGTGTTTGATTAGGGTTGAAGCTGAACTCTGCAGTATGGTAGCTCTCCAGGAGCAGGGTTGGAGACCCCTGTTAAAGGGGTCATATGATGCTTTTTTAAAGATCATTATTTTGTGTATTTGGTGTAACAGAATATGTTGACATACTTTAATGATCAAAAAACACATTATTTTTCAAATACTGTACATTATTGTAGGTCCTCTATGCCCCGCCTCTCTCAAACGCTTCGTTTTCTACAAAGTCCCTCTTTCTGACAAGCGCTTGCAACTTCAGGGGTCTTATCTATGCACAATCAGCTTGTTGTTACAAAGAGAAAGGAAAACTTGAAATCGCATCATATGAGCCCTTTAAAGACATTTGTTAATACAGAATTTTACCATAAAATGTCCAATACCCAAAAAGGCTGACATAGGAAAATTAGGAATCGTTTAATTCTATATGCTGTTCCGAATCTAACAAGACCAGTTTTATGATGCTTGGCCAAACTGAAAATATAATTTTCAGCAGAAATATTTTTAAATATCTTTTGACCAGTAGTCAAAAGTCCTTGTGCGCTCAGGTCATGCTTGTTATAACACATACCAAGTTTAGTTTGAATCTGCTAAAGCATTGCAGAGATACAGCCTCATGTCCATTTTTGCACAAACTTTGCCAAATTTGTTAACTCACTTTGCGAAAAAGGTTTGGTATATCAAAAAGCTTTTGATAAATTTTTGCCTGAAGATGTTCTGAAGATGATCTGTGCCAATTTTGGTGAAAATTGGACAAACCATCTAGGACGAGTTCGAAAAAGTCGATTTTTTTGAAAATTTTAAATTAAAAAAAATCTTGACATGTAGAATTTTACATTTTGGTATGCATTCGACTCGGTATGAGCCAAGGAATCAGAAGAAAATGAATTTTGATCTTAAGGTTCACTCTGCGCTACAGAGTTTTAGATAGAGACTCCAAATTTGCTGTGGTTAATGACGAGACTGTTCTCTATCTGTGTGCCGAATTTCATAACTTTCCCGCAAACAGTTCTATAAGATTCATAACAATATGCTAAAGTGTTTGAAAAATACAATATTTTACTACAAAATTTGAAATTGTCAATGTTCCGATTGGCTGACATAGGAATCATAAAGCCAAGGAATCAGAAAAAAAGAGAATTTTGCTTCTAGACCTTATGGTTCAAAAGTTATTAGCAGAAACATGAGTGCAAATTTGACCTATTGATGGTGCTAGAGAGTTTGAGATAGAGACTCCAAATTTGCTATGTTAAATATTGAGACTGTCCTCTATCCGTGTGTCAAATTTCATAACTTTCAGAAGAAGAAGACGACGAAGAAGAAGAAGAAATAGAATGAAGAATAGTAATAATAAGAAAACTTATTATAACAATAGGTGCCTAAGCACCTTCAGTGCTTGGCCCCTAATTATTTCTGACTAACAGCAATTAGCAAGTAGAAAATCATGAGTTGTCTGTGTGTTTTTGGCTGCTCAAACCTGCATACATATTTAATTTTCCAACTGCAAGTTGATTGTCAAGGAAGTGGCTGGAGTTTATTTATTTTAAAAAGTAAGCAAAGGCAATGAAATTGTAACAGTGGTGTATGCTCACTATACTATATTTTGATGTACACAGATAAAACAAATCCAATCAAAGGTTGTCTATAGATACTGCATACAGTAGTTTATAGATACAAATAATTTAAAGCTTACGGGTGAGACATATCAACACTCCTTCATTAGATCTGTCACCCCTTTAGATCTTGGCTTGAATTGAGGTTTAGGTAAAGGTGGTGGCAAAAAGTCATCCAGTTTTAAATTGTGTCTTCTGTCAAATGCATATTTGCAGGACTGTGATGTAACACACAACTGGCTATATATTGGCTAACCTATAATTGCTGTTTTAATAGGAAGCAAGTCAACACATCACAGATATATTCAAATATTGCCATTTTATATTTAAGACAACAATAATATCATATTGTACTAATATCATATAGCATGCAGGTGGGTTTAGATGCCAATTAGTTATGCCAGCCTAGAGCTTATGAGCAGTGTGAGGGTGAAATTTCCAGGGATGGTCACATGCTGCAAAAGGAGCCGCCGACTTAACTGCATTAAAATTACAGTCACAATGAACAAGTTCTAAATAATTGCTATTTTACTAGTTGTATTTTAGTTACTCAAAATAGAACTAGCTATCCCTTTAGATCTAATTGAAAATAGCTAATTGTTTCCTATGAGAAACCCTTTTAAAACATTGAACTGGTCTGATATTGTATAAATAAGCAAAATACAATAATGGTCAACTATGCATATTCTTCATATCAGTTGACCACCACAGCTAGTCAGTATACTGCTCTCTTGAGTGTTGATGATGCTTTGGTGGTTCACTCCTGTATACCTTTTATCACCAGAAAGGGTCCCTCTATTGAATTTTTTTTACTTCTTGCAGGAGAATGTCGGATAGGGAACTAAATAATTAAAGAAAAGGGACCCTTTTTGACTGCATCAACCATGGCACTGCTGGTAAGCTCTACAATACATTGTACAATCTATTTATCAGTTACATTTAGGTGATTATTTAAGTTACTTTTAGCCCTTATGGCCTGGGTTCCCTGAGGTCTTTTTATTTTGTTTTCTTGTATCTACATTACTATTTATTTTAGATTGGAAATGTGATAGGCTATGGTTGTATGATAGGCTATGGTTGTTTTATTTTGGTTTTGTTAATCCATGTTTTAACCAATTCTGCATTAGTATTACTACACTGTAAAAGCTAATTAGTTGGGCTTACTTAAAAAAAAGCATGCAAACCGATTTTTTTTCGGAAAAACTAAGTAAAGTGAAATAGGAATAGTATGTTGTACTGACAAATGCTTAGTTAGTGTAGTTTACTTACACAAGAGTTCTAGTAACTAAAAATGAACTGTAGGGGGTACTTGATTCTTTCATTTAGGTTTACTCATGACTTAGTATAGCTACTCACTGACTCCCAGAGTGCATTGCGGCAGAATAAATTATGCAGTTGCTTTGTTTTACAGTTGTTGCTTTTATTTGCCAATTTTATTTGCTGTCTTGTGTCAGTAGTAGCACAACAAAAAGAGCAAATAAAATGGTTATTGTTACAATTAATGAAAATAAATGAAATTGGACTGTTACCATTGTTGTGATTCACGTGCTGAATGTTCAAGTCTGTGTATGACTTTATCATATTACCACACACTATTTAAGGATTATATAAACCCAATTAAAAGCATCTCAAGGTATTTATATAAAATGAAATTTGAAAAAGCTCAACAAATAAACACCAAAAAATACACTAATGATTTCATTAGAAGACAGGTCACCTTCTAAAAGCAACCTATTTATTACATTTCTGCCCTTGACATCAAATAACTTTCACTTCATGATGCATTGCTGCATTAACAGGAAGAAAATGATAGAAACATAAGCAAAGTTCCAAGTGCCCAACCAAAGGGAACACTAATCACTATAATGGTGAGTAAAAAAAAAGAAAACACATTTTAGGAAAATCAACATCAATTTATGAAGTTAGCTAATGTGATGTTCTCTCAAATATTTCAGTAGTATTGAAAATTAAACATTCAAGATGACTTTGGGAAACGAGTGAATGCAACTAGTGAAAGAAAGCTGCAGACATTGAGGAAATGGTTGAAAAGTCTATTAAGACTCTTTTTTCTTTTCTTCTTCTTCTGTTGTTATGTTGCACATTAGCAACATATTAGTGCACTGCTGCCTCTCACTGCTTTATTCATGTCATTGGTTCCTTTGTGGCTACTTAAACTATTGGATTTTACAGTGTAGTTTCCTTTTGTTTTCTGTCAAACCACAATATTTATTCAATTGTTAGTTGCACATCATGAGGACTGACATGTTTATTGCATGGTCTCATATTTGAGGTAGTTATTAATCAGCTGTCTAGAGGCAGGCTTAGTTGTAAGAAAATAAGTCAAGGTTTAGATTAATTGATGTAAAGTCACCTTTTCTTGCTATGTGTTATGTGATCCTGGATTGGAGTGAGAGAACAAAATTCATCTTTATTAAAGTGAAGCCTAAATTAACAATATGCTTATGGGTCTCTATTAAGCTACCTTCAGGAGTGAGTCAATGTGCTAATGCTGTCCATGTCGGAGTTAATATGCTATCGAGTTTCTCTCGATTATTGCATTACCATGGCTCAAATCAATTGATAAACTCCCATTCAATGTGGTGGAGTATTTAATTGAGTCAGAGTCAATTGCATTTGTGCATGCCTGCAGACATGCTGACAGGAGTAAACACTTTAGCAGGATACTGTCTAAGCTGTGTTAGAGTTATTGAACTCTCTGCTGTGTCAGAAAGTAGTGTGCTCTAACACACATTCATGCACTCAAAAAAAAAAAAAAAGTGAAAATACAGGATTTTGTTTATGTATGTATTGCAGATCTTTGTATGTTCTCAGTTCAAATACATTGCTACAGGAACCCTATCCTCTTTCCCTGCAGACATAGCTCCAACATCAACCTGCACCGCAAACTACTGACCAAAGAGCTGGATGATATTGTCCTGGATCCCCAGCTTACAACCATGCCTAAAGAGCTGCGTGCCGAGTTCCTTTCAACGATCTATGCTGACCACCATCTGGGACTGGAGGGGGTAGAGAATGCTGGACCACCACGAGACAGAGGACATGAGGGAATGAGATCCCCAGTCGCTAAAGAATATTCACGCAGCAACGGCTATTGCCATGGCCCCAGTGATGACTACATGGTGCTGGACCTGAGCACCACCTCCAGTGTACAATCAAGTGGCAGTGTGCAGTCCTCACAGGAGTCTGATGAGGGCAGTGATGAGGGCATCCTGCTGGATGACCTGGAGGGTGCTAGTGACAATGAAGACTACACCCCTAGTACTGTGGCAAAGAAACTGGCAAGGGAGGGAAAGAGTACAGAGGACACCAGGAAGGAAGGAAGAGAAGGAGCCACAGAGGAGGGGCCTCTGCACTGTGACCCTTCATTCTCACCATCCGTCTTAGCATCCAGTGGAGGTAATGGCACAGGAGGCATCCTGTGCACCATCTGCCACAAACTGTACAGTAATAAAGGGACCCTTCGAGTGCACTACAAGACTGTCCATTTGCGTGAAATGCACAAATGCAAAATGCCTGGCTGTAACATGATGTTTTCTTCCGTGAGAAGCAGAAACAGACATAGCCAGAACCCCAACCTACACAAAAATGCCCCCTATACCACAATGATTGACTAGACCTGACATCCCTCTGCACCACATTGCCTCAAGTTACAAATACTCCACACAATAACACCCTCTCCATTCCTCAGTATCATAATGCTATAAAAACAGCATTATTTCTCCACAAACGTCTTTTCAAGTATGAACAATTAGAGCAGAATTGTGCCCTTTTGACATTTCCGTTTTTGGAAGCAAAATACATCATAGATCTCTCCATCCCTCACACAAACTTTTCCTCAGTCTTTAATTTATGACTCTTGCCTGCAGAAATGATAGAGGGGAAAAAAAACACATTTGTGTAATTATATATTTTAAAGAATCCCATACAAGAGCATGTTAAGACTGGTTTAAACATGTAAATATTAATGTTGTGAGGGGCTATTTGGTGTGAAACAGTTGTATTGATGGTTGATATTTTCTCTTTTTTGTTCTTTTTTTAATTTTATTTTAGTCTAATACTTTCATTTTAAAAAAGTTAAGCAAGACAAAGTAGCATCTGCCAAGCTTGATTCATCTATATTGGCTTTAAGAATGTTTTACATTAGAAAAGAAAAAGTAAAAACATGTGACTTGTGACTTGTTTTATCTACATGTTAGATATACAGATGGAGCTGGCATGCTTTTAGCTCTGACACAGTACCTTTTTCTTTTATTTTCTCATGTTTATAGCTTTGGTACAAAAAAAAACCGTTTTGCACTTTGCAGCTATACTAGTGGGACTTGTAACATTATTACAAAGATAACACTTTACAATGATGGTTGTCCAAATTGAAAGTGACATTTTTAAGGATACAGTGCCAAGCGGTAATTACTGTTCCTTTAAAAGACATGTGCCAGTTCTTGATATGAGAGTAATCTAATTTGACATGATTAAACCCAATATTCATCCCATTTAGTAAGTGTTTCAGATATATTCATTTGAATGCAGTAAATACGTATTACTGGCTCTGATAATATCATTTCAAGAGTATAAGTGTATGGATAAAGGTGCTGAATTAGCCCAGAGGTTAGGTAGATAATCTTTCTACTGCATGTAGTATTACTTTAAAAGAGTTAGTAAGTGTCCTATCATTTATTTTGTTTCTATAAATTTGATCAGTTTTATCATATAAAAATGGCATTGACATTTCAGTGTGCTACACAAGAGAGGCTCTAAACTGTGGCCAAAATCAAAGACAATGTTTCAAAACCTCATAAACAGAAATGACACATTGAAAAGATGTTTAAGTAGTTTCCTATCTCCCGAGATGCTTCCGTTCGAGACAGTCATTTACAGCAGAACATTTTTATCTTGTTAATGGCAAACATTGACTATTGGCCACACAATATCAAGGCAAAGAAAAAAGCACTATTGAATTTGATACATTTAGTGGGTATGTAGATATGACTATTTATTTCTAGTTATCTGTTTATAATAATTAACTGAATGCAAATTAGCCCTTTGATGTCTGTTGCTGTCATTTCAAATAAATGAAATGAAAGATAATTCTGAATGAATTAAATGTAATTTACATTACTGAAACTCCATTCAGTTCAAAAGGTTATTAATGCTGGACAAAGACTAGATGCATTTGGTCCCTCCTTTATGTGCTATAACAGTAGCAGGCCTTATGGTATGATGGAAGGTATGAAGATTAAGAGATATTTTGAAAGGGGAAATAGCAGTGTGTGTCATTCAAAATATGTTGCTGCACATAACCTGGAGATATTTCCATCACTGATCTGTGTAATAATTTAATTGTCAATTCATTAAATTCAGTGATTCAGTAAATGTTGCTGGCAATACTGCATCATGGAGACACCCAAGCTCTCCTTCTGGTTTTCTCTTTCATTTCTTCCTCTGTTTTCTCTTGCTCTGCCACCACCCTACCCGCTACCTCTTACCCCCATCACAACTGCTGCCACAGTGGGGGTCCTACAGGGACACTGTCTAATAGTGTACGGTTAACTTCCCCGGATGGCACACAACACAGAAAAAGAGTTGTAATTGCCTGTTTATTCCACATAAGGGGAAAATTGAACACATACAGCCAAGTTTCCCCCTAGAGTCAAACAGTGTTTTACTTTCCTATAAAAGGCTATAAAAGAGTGGCACTTCAGAGGCATTTTACTGCTTCAAAAACAATGCCCAAACTTTGTAGTTCTTGCACCAATAACTAATCAGTAGGATGACAGCAACATGTGGACCTGTTAACCTCAAAACAGAATGGACTTTTAGGACTGACAAAGGCTGGTGCTTTATTAAAACCTTGATAATAATAATCATAATAATAATAATAACATCATCATCATGTACATAGATGGGTAACGTGATATCATAAAGTGAAGGTTATCAACCTCATAGCCTCCATATTTTCCAGCCTTTCAAACTAAAGACCTTCTAGAGAGACACACAGCATGGACACAAAGAAAAAGCCTCATATTTCTATCTGCCGAGAGAAAGAAAATGACTTCCAAATGTGAATTCCTGATTACTTACACATTATGCTTCTGTTAGCATTGGATTTGTCTGATGGAAGTAAAAAAAAAATATATATATATATATATACATAATATATGACAGGGAAATGGTCTTAAAAATGGGTTTTAGTGTCAGTCATTTAACAAGAGATATGTATGAGAGAAGGAGGAAAGGAGTGAGGAAGTAAATGAAAATAAACCAGAATTTCTCAGGATGTTCTGCTATAATGAATTCATCACCTTGTGGAGAGTAAACTCCTACTCTTGTACTATCCCATCCTGCTCCTATTTTACTTTTCCCGAGCATAAAAATGACCAGCATATTCTTCTCTGAGAGCCCATCAAGATATCTGTTGTCAGGAGTCAGGCAGTCATTACTGTCCTGCATTGTCCCCACAGAGTTAGGCTTTTACCATGAAGCCAGAGGCTAAAACAGTCTGTGTAAATATTTCATTGCAGCTCTGAGGACAGGACCATTACAGACTTTAGTATTACAGAATGTAGTATATTGCAAAGGTGATCTTTAAGTTTGCTGTGTTAGCACTGTTCCTTTGAGGGCATAGAGCGATAAAGCACAAAAATAAGATCAAATGGAACTGAAATTGCAGAATCGGAAGAATTATTTTGAATAAAAATAGACATTGTAAAATCAAACACAGAGGAACATTCTGATCAGTGTGATCATTTACATGAATAACAGTGATACAAAGGAAAGAAAAAACATAGTCCATGATTTAATACAAGTATAATATATCGTATTGTGCAACCACAAACAATAATAAATAAGCCTGAACTATTTGTTAACCTTTTATTTCGTTCTAATGTGATGTTTGATGTAGCTGTCTTGTTTGATTGTCCTTATTGCCCACTGAAGAAAAGTGCATCCATTTTGATGGGGGATATTAATTGCTTATCAATGCTACTTTCATTCTAAATTGTTTACTTTTCATCCCATGAGAAGGTATGATGTCCTCCTTTAATGAATTTACATTTCTTGGAATCTTTTGTATTATTTTATTATTTTTTTTTTGCATAAAATGCGTATGGCGTGTAAATGGAATTTTTGTACAAATCAGAATTCTTGTACAATTTTATATTAAAGATTTATCAGTCACTGGCATGTTGAAGTACTTTATTATTTTGGATCAGACAATTACAGATATTTAGTTTCTTTGCACAGTTGGAAGTTAGCACTTCATGAAACTCGCAACAGAAAATTCCTATTTATGCCACAGAGGATGACCTGATTAGTAAGTCAGTGATTAGCTTTTAGGTCTTTCTTGTCTTTTTTTCTTTTATTTATTGATTGAAATATGATATATTATATATAGATTTACCTAAATGTTCATTTTTTTAAATAAAAAAAAAATGGATTTACAAAAACAGTTTTGAGCCTTTTATAAAACAACAGGATTTTATGCAGAATATAACAATTTCTGGCATGTTTGACATGTTGTGGTACAGCGAGGACCAGGCAGGATATCACAGCACAAGAGGATAGACTCTCTGGGCACAATCAGGCACTACACCAGCCTTGCTGCATGGCAGGTAGAATCAGAGATGGGCAGTATTTATGATACATGTATTTAAAATATAAAATATGATTTTGTAATTTGTATTTGACAGGGTTCATGAAAATGGCTTCAAATTTTGTATCAAAATACTTCAGTGTTTTGTATTTTTGTAGTTTTAACATAGTGTAAAATACTTTGTAAGAAGTCTACATGATGACATCATAAAAATGTGGCCTCTGATTGGTGACTGCTCAGTAGTTTGCCCAGACTTTTTACTACATTATTAATGTGTATGTGTCCTCTGTACTTCAATAGATTCAGTGACTGGAGTTGGGTTAGTACTCCTTAACAAGTTTTGTTGCTACTTTCTGATTACGTTTCTGGCTACATTTAAATTAAAACATATTGATCATTTAATAATTGTTGAAATGCTAAAATGTTTGTTTTCAACTTCCAAACACGGTGCATCTGGAAAGTATTCACAGCACTTCACTTTTTTTCACATTTTATTATGTTACAGCATTGGTCTCAAACGCAATTCCTGGAGGGCCACAGCTCTGCACAGTTTAGCTCCAAACCTAATCATTCAAAAAAAGTATACAAACAATACTCCATAATGACAATGTGAAAGAAGTTTGTTTGAAATATTTGCAAATTTATTAAAAAAAAAAATCACCTGTACATAAGTATTCGCCATGACACTCGGAATTGAGCACAGGTGCATCCTGCTTCCACTGATCATCTTTGAGATGTTTCTACAACTTGATTGGAGTCCACCTGTGGTAAATACAGTTGATTGTACATGATTTGGAAAGGCACACACTTGTAAGGTCACACAGTTAACTCTCTGGGGTCTGAGGGGGTTTGGGGACACTGAAGAAGTTTTGACATGCCCTGACATTTGTGGGGGGTTTTTTCCAGTATCTTAAAAACATATCAGGAAACGTTCACACGAAGCCAGAGCTTTCCCTATCCAATCTTTTTTTTCCCCTCGTCTCAAGAAATATCTGCGTCCACACAAAACCGACACAAAACGATGTAGTATACGTGCCAGACCAGTCTGTGGCGCTGTAATTCTGCCACAGAGATACACTAAAAACAGAGAAGAAGACTTGGACTATGCGCATAAACCTTGCGCGCGATATACAAACGAACATGGAACAATACATGTTTCACAATACATTACACAATACATTAATCTGTATTAATGTTAGTTAATAAAAAGACAATCGTTCAGTGTTTGTTCATGTTTTTGTTCCTGTTATATGACATAGCGGTGTCTGACTAGGGGCGAGACGTGGGCTGATGACGTCATCGTTTCAGAAAATATATGGATTCGCGGTCCACACGAAAACGCAAGGGTGACGTTTTCAGATTTATCCACTCTGGGTTTCACTCTCCCAAAATGTATGCGTATACAGCTAAACGTGTCTCCGTGTGGACGGGGCCTTAATGGCTAAAGTCTGATTACAGTTTAATTAGCACACACTGGGCTACAATAATATGTGAGCAGCATGAATGTACATGTTAGTTTTTTTGAGAAAACAACGTTTATGCGTGGTTAGTGAAAAACTAAAAGTCACTGAAATAAGACCCTAAAACATATACAGAACATTTGTTCACAAGACTTTTGAGAACAGGATGTGGTAGACTAGAGTTTTTGCCACAATATGATGTGAAAATTATCCTGTTTACTCGTTCACAGAAAACAATATATTGATTTAACATTTGTAAAACATGTTTTGTGATAGAATGCCCACATGCGAGGGAGAGACAATGGCCATGAGTATTTTAGTGATTCACACCTGAGAGACAAAGTCCTCCCATAATGAGCTATCAGTCAGTAATGTGTCTGTGAAGCAGGTAACAAAGAATGT